TATATAAGTTATTAAGCCTGAAATATTGTGCAATAATTATGGTCTATATGCAATAAATTACAAAATATTATCAAATACAGTACAATGTATATACTATATATGGGGGTGTTAGTAAAAACCAGGCAAATTGGTTCTAAGTAAATTTTTTTTAGACTTTAAATCAATGGATTGGATTTACTCCTTTGTACTAAATTAAGTACACTTTAAAAAATTACTTTTACTAAAATACATCTATGGACTGGGTCTTCTAAGTAAAAATGCTTAGGACCTCCAAAAACCTTATGAGAACTGAGATCAAAATTTACAAAATTTCTAAATGAATATAAAATACAAGCAAAGTTGAGAGGAAATCTTTAATAACTTCCAAAAGTTAATCAAATAGAACTTAGAATAATTGACTCTGATTTAGCCAGCTAAACTGGTTTTTAAATATCGACTTAGTCAAGTTGATAAATAATGGTCAATTACAAACAGTATATAGAATAGTTTAATATTATTTATTTTAATATTATTAATAAAAAAAATTTTTTTTATATAAGAGATTTTTGGGTTTTTTTTGCATATTAAATTTAGTACACTTCGAAATTTATTATTTAATAATAGTTTTCTATAAAAAAAATTTGCTGTACAAAAAATGTAAAAAATTTTATTGCTTTTACAAAAATATTTTTAGCTTTTTTAAAAAAACGATTTAAATCTATAAGCTTTTAATCACAGTATTGTCAATACCTATAAAATTTTTAAAAAATATTAAAATATATAGTTTTTTGAAAAATTATTAAATAGATAGTTTTAAAAATGTACTAAATCTAGTTTTTTGTACTAGTTCTAGTATAGTAAATCCAAACCATTAAAATATCTCAACAACTATTAAACCAAACTTGATAAAAATTTTTTTATTTTAATGCTATTTAGTTATAGAATTAAAATAAAAAAATTTATTTAATAGTTGTTGAGATATTTTAATTTAAAGGTTTAAAAAAATTTACTAAAAACAATTTGCCTGGTTTTTACTAACACCCCATATAGTAATAATTTCAATTACGAATGTGAGCTATGGCATTCAATAAAATATAATATCAAAATTTTCGCTGATAAGAGCTCTTCCTTACTGGCGAAACTTTAATATTGACTAATCAACTAGTTACCTGATTTTATGGCAAGTTTGCAAAAATCAAGTAAATACTACTTAAATTCCAAAATTTGGGTAGCAAATCTAACATCAGACCGAATTTGTTAACATATTACGTAATACGTATTAAATATTTACTAAATGAGGATAATATAATAAATGATACTTACTATTATGTGGGAAATGTAAACTAAACTCCTTTAATAATAAGCTTATATGAAGAGAGAAAAGTAGAGGATATTATATTTAAGTACATTCCTAGATATAATAATCGTTGATAGTGATATACACTAATCCAAGGTGTATTGATCTTGACAAGTATAGAAATGGTGCCCGTCTATTTTTTGAATATGAAATTCGATGATCATATTTCTCATCATGAGGAAGGCCCTTGTAATGCTACTTTCGAAGGATATATTACACAATGTTAATTATTCTGATGTTTTTGAGTTAAAAGTCCTATAATTGGTTCAGCATATAGAAACGGCAGAATGGGCGTACAAAGGATGAGAAATTTTTTAAAAAGTAATTGTGACACATTTATGTGAGTAGCCCTATTAGGTAAATGTAATTTGATAGATGAATTTAAATCATGGATCCCTATAGTGAAAGTCTGTAGATTACTAAAATTTTCTTGCAAGAGAAAAAGATTAGTTGATTTACATGAAAATATTATCAGAATGGTGACTTTGTATTCCTTGAAATGCGCGTTTCTGACAAGGGTGGATCTGCAGCATCTCTACAAGTAACCATAGCTATATATCATTTATGTTTATTTTGATAATGATTGTGTAAGTGATAATTTTCGTATTACCTTCAGCAGAAATATTAATAAGGTTAAAACTAGCCATGCGGGTGAAATTAATTTCACCAAAATTTACAAGCATATATACAGTATATAGTTTAGTTCACCATCTTTAGTTAAAATGGCATTCTAAAAAATTTTGCTGACAATCAAGTTTATTGACCATATGTAACGTAAGAGAGCAAACTAGAATAGAGAGGAAACATAAAAATGTCTTATAATCGAATAGATTACATCCATTCAAATTTTTGCCGTCTTTGCGTGACCAATTAAAATATGATTATGTGCTCTTATAATGAGACTCAAAAAAAAAAAAAAAGATGTAAATATTTGGATATACTTTAATTCAAAAATTCCGAAAATTCATTGATCAATGGATGCCTAACCTAGACTAGTAATTATGAAATTAATATATATATACATATTTGTAATGATAAATAGTTTTTTTTTTACAAATCTGTTCTAATAATAAACTGAAAACCAGATATACAATTACAAAGAATTGCATCTTTTACAAATAAGATGTGTTCTTTTTTGTTTTTTGTTTTTTTTTAAAAAAAAAAGATCATATCACATGATAGCGAATTTTAAAACAAATATGCGGATATCGATATATATATACAGTAGTACTGTATTATGTAAAGATGTGATAATGATCTTTAAAAACAAATATGATTTTGACGTGTGGACATTTAATATATGTTACATTACCCAGGCCCATGTGTTCCCGCGTGCCGTAAATTTTAACACAAATAATTACACAAAAGAAAAAAAAAAGACGAAACAAAGTAAAATAGACAGGGACATGCTTGCCCGGGATTACACGGAGAATTGGCGCGAATTTAAGAATTTAAGCTTTTAATATTGCATATATTTGTATGCACTATACCGTACACAAGAATTTGATAGCAGAGTGCAACAAAAAGTGATGTTTAAACTAACATCATTATAGCAATCTAGCGACCAATGAAGGTTAATTTTGACAAAGAGCATTAATGAATTGCTTGTTGAAGAAACTTCTTTGCCAATTATTGCCTAGTGTAATGAGGCACAAAAAGTTTTTGTGGTACGAAGAAGATTCCATTGCATTTTGGAGTTTATCATGAATTGTTCTTTCATACTGTTATTTTTATAGCACTTTCATTCTTAAATCTGTTTATAGGGTAACAGTGATACTACTGTCAAACCATCACAGGTTCAATGACAAAAAAAAAATAAATAAATCTTGATAGCCTACTTTAGTATTTTTCTTCTTCGACCAGCACCCTCAATATTTTCCCGTATTTAAGTCCAATATTTCCGTTCAATCAATTTTTATCTTTTTAAGTATATTTATTATCCATAAACAGTGATATCATCTACATAGCAATAGTTTTTTGATAGACACGAGAAATATTGAAAATATTGCGTTCGAACCTTAATTTTAAAGACCCAAGTTTTTAATACACTCATTCATATTGTTACCTTCGTTATAAGCAGGTTTATTTGTAGCTTTTTGTTAGAGTTAAAAAATAAATAGATCTTTAATAAATATAAACTTGTATATAACCAAGTTCTTAGAACAACTCGAGAACCTAAAGTCTCGAATTCACTATACATTGAAGAGCCGTAGTTAATTTCACTTGGGTCAACGTCGCTGGTCGCTCGACACTTGAAATTATTACGGCCCTTTTTTTTTTTTTTTTTAGCCAAGATGTCGGACCAAGATTTTAATGAAAATGTTACTTTAGCAGAGTCTTTTAGTGATACAGATACGCTTGTAGGATCTTTTGATGACAAAACTGAAATATACATGCAAGAAACAACTGAGATACACACTCATAAAGGAACTGAAATACAAACTCATGAAGGAGCTAAACTATGTACTCATGAAGTTACTATACGAGATGGAAAAAATATCCGTAAAGGCCGCTATCAACCTTATGTGAGTTACTGAATAATATATTTTATATATGATCAATTTAACATACTGTATTATTAACAAATATCAATCTTCAGGAAGATACCCAGTTAATCCGTCTTTATAAAAAATTAAAAGACCAACATAAGAATAATGTTTTCGCAATGATTGAACAGATTATGGATAGAACTGCTAAATCTCTGCGAGAACGATATTGTAACCATCTCGATGAAAGAAGTTAGTATTTATATCAAACACCGGTATCACGTGACTTGTTGTATTCTTGAAAAGATCCCAGTAGTTTTCAATAATAATACTAATATATAACTTAATTTAACAAAAAGTCGACAGTTCAGAATTACTACCAGCCGAAAAGACTCGAATTTATGAACTCTATCATATGCTTGGTAATCGCCCAGTCCACGCTGAAATAGCGCGTTTGTTAAGTGAAGGGCGCGAGGATGGTAGACGCAGAACAGACCTTATTGTCCGGAATTTTTTGTCACCAAAGTTAAAAAAGAATAAAGAAAGTAGCACTCGCATTAAAGATATGATGGATTTGAATACTTTAATACATAAAGATGATGAAATGGACCCGGATAATTCAATAAATAATGATAAAGTTGGCACGACCAATTTAGCAAATAAAGATGAAATGAAGCCGGTTGGTTTAGTAAAGAAACCGGTTGGTTTAATAAATAAAGAAGATGAAATGAGCCAGGCTAATCCAATGAATGAAGAAAACAAGATGGACTTGAATAACTTATTAATAAAACAAGATGGACGTGAATAACTTATTAATAAGTTGAATGGTCCTTGGTTCAGTGTGTGTAAAGTAGATGCTTTCTTAGCCAAAGTATCTCAAATTGTATATAAAGGCCGGTTTTACCCGGTTTTCTCGGACTATTTCATACATCGCCTTGTAAATATTTTTATATTTTTATCTTACTAATACTGTACGTTTTTTTATTTTGTATTTTATATATATTTTTATTTTACTTTATATATTTCTTTTTGTTTCAATGTCTATAATATTTTAAATTTTATTATGCACGAAGATCTATCGTGTTTTTTTTTTTTTTTTGGTCGTCCCCCTTTTTTTTGTCTTTTAAATTTTTTTTTTTTTTTGCTATATAAGTTCCGTTCTTTTTTTTTTTTCTTTTCTCCTCTTTTTTTTTTTTTTTTTTTTTTGTTAAGAGATTATTTTTTTTCTATATCTCTAATTAATGTTATACTTCAAAACATTTATTTGTTTGAAAAGGGTTCTCATCACGCTTCCAAATACATAATGGAATATAAACAAATAAATGATCGAAAAATTTGTTCCATTCTTTGAACAAATTTAAGTCTAGAACCTCTTAGCACCATTTTTTCACCGATTTTAGTTCCTGAAACCTTGTTTATAATACCAGAAAAATCCGGATACATCCAAATATACAAATGTAACGGTAACGGTAAAGGATGTTAAAATCCAAATTTTTATTCCGTTATAAATCCTGTTTCTATCAGGATATATTCTATTCTATATCGATATGTGTATTGCGATAATCCATATTTCGTATCACAATTAAGTGGTTGGTTTTTAAATTCAAAAGATATAGGCGTTCATTTTCTAAAAAGCTAGTTTTATAATATATATATATATATACTTTATTTAATGATTTTTGGCTTATCGTTATCATCAGATTATCATAAGATTTCGAAGTAACGCGTTATTTCGAGTACACTTATTTTGAGCTTTGATTATTACTATATAAATTCGTTGATATGCTATTTGAGAATCTTAAATATGCTATTTGATTTTAAAGTATCTAACGCCTTCATGCTGTTACTTACAGGATAAAGAAATTATATTTATATATAAGTTATAGTTCATAATACCTTGATATATTGGAATTTTGGAATTTATATATAAATCATATAAAACATATTGCAAGAATTACCTAATTCTCTCGATTAAAAAACCAGTATCGACCATCTCATATGAATGCTTCCCGAGCAGATGTTTCATAAAATGTAAATAAAACAAAAAAAGATTCTGTTTGATCTCCACTATCATTGACTATTTTTAAAGTAATTACTTAATTTTAATTCTGTAGGGAAATTGTCTCCGGACATCATTAATATAACAAGAGGATATCGCATTTATTATTATTCCTTGCTTGACGTAGAAACATCCATAATTGCACAATCTATAAGTGCAGTGTTATTCACTGGGAACATTCCAGTGATAGAAATGTAGTCCATTCCGGTGATTTCTAGAAAATATGCACTAGATAGCATCCAACTCATAAAACTATCATATGCTTCAACGAATCTCTTGCCTTAGACAATTAGAATAAGATATCGATGCTGCATTAATGTTAATTTATACAATAATCTATGTGATTATATAAGCAGATATATTTTATATATTAATGGTTATATATACCGATTCGATTAGGTTCAAGTGTAGTATACGTAGAAAATTCATAAATTCTTTATATCCATATCCAGTGTAAATAAATTATGTTATTTATTCTGAATCCTCTACATTATACGTAGCGCATAGTTCGGTGTTTAGAAGTTCAGTATAGATTGAGGCAAACTTAGAGACAAGAACTTTATTATTACTATTATACAGTAAATTATAATATAACTCATATACCATAAAAGTGCGTAAACAAGACCCGGGTCTACTAACTTCTAAACTCTTTAGTAGATCCCGGGTTTACAGTAGTACACGCTGAGAAGTTATACCGTGAAAAAAAAAATTTAAGGCGCATACACACTCCATACTTATAATGGCAGTCTGTTATTTTAAAAAATCCACATTTAATTAATAAAGATTCCATCGTTCGCACCCGGGCCTAATTCATAGTGGATCTACTATTTTGGAAAATCTTGTATACGCACTTTTACGGGTAACTAAGAAAAAAAAAGAGGCCAATTGTATATTATTTTTAGACATGGCCCGTAGTAGAGATTAGAGATGCGATCCAGATATTGGTTAAGTTTTAAATAGGAAAACGAACAACGAATCGCATCTCTAGTCCGTAGTACTAGTTTTGATTACTATAGAATTTTTTATTTTTAAATAAATCAATGACGCAATGTAATGAAATGTATCATTACCTCATGAGTTTGATTGCTTTGTTCAAACTAAACACAGATAAGAAGAATGAGAAATTAAATAAATAGGTTAATATTAAGTACAGTACTCCGATTAATATATATGATCGTCATACAGGCTGAATAAATGCTAATTAAATGAGATGTAATTAGCTTATCTAAATAATTCAATTGACTATTAGACTAAATCATTGAGCATAAAAAGAAAATTTCAAATGAGAAAATGATAATATTAACACGATGCATGATTGTTACGCTTAGACTAAATAAACATAAATAAAAGGTGAATGGATTAATATTTCTATTGGTGAACAGTTGAAATACTTTGATTGATACCTCTACTGGATTAATGCGGAATAATTATATCTTCTGGTTTGTAAGCTGTCAAAATATCGATACGTCGATATTACAGTTGCTAAATCAATTTTTATTGAGTCGACAAACACTACGTATCACGAATTTTTAAATTCCTTTTATATGACATATAAATTCTTGCATACACTTACAAATGTTAGATCGTATAGAGTAGGAATAGATTAGTAGCGCAGCCAAAATTCAGCAGAAATTGATCAATTTTTTCTAAATTCTCTCAAATTTTTACTAATAAACTGGCAGCCTATATATGAGTAACGGAAATTTTTATAGGGTAGATATCACTGCAATGATAATGAGTGAAATGGTTTACAGGTTTTCATTTTCCGTCACTTATATTATTAAGTAAAATTGCATTGCTCAGCTACTAATTTTGCTATAGTATAGTGCTAGTATGGTTAGCCAGTATTATTGCTTAATTCCGGCCAATCCCCGGCCCATCCCGACCCTAAATTCGGGCCGATCTGCCGAGTTTTGGTTGCGCTACTAATCTATCCATATAGTAGCTTACTCCGGTGTGCTCCGGAACCATTCCTTAACAACGCATACCAGATTTTTAAGTACACGGATGTAGTACACGGCTGAGAGGTTATATCGTGAAGAGAAAAATTTAAAGCGCATACAGTATTACCGCGAAATAACGCGCAGGGGTGAATTATAAATTCCGGCCTTAATTTGGTCGAACCTCGAAATAACGCCCTGGAGTGAAACGAAAGACTCATATTTCTATGACTTTTGATGACCGAATTACGTCTTTGGTGCGTTAATTCGAATCAATTGTCCGGGTATCTTATTTATACTGTAGTTTACAAAAAAATAACTAATAACCCATCGCTTCGTAAAACATTTCAAAATTAAGGTTGTATTTTTTTCTTAATATTGCCAACTATAATGACTATATATATGTCAAAATGCTGTAAATAGTCTGTTAAAAATACAGGATTCTCAGACTAAATTCTATTGTTTTTATGTTAATTATAAGTTTATACTATTTTGCTAACTGCTAATTTCTTTTTTTTTTTATCTCTATTTTAGAACATTCTCGAGCGTCTTTGCTGATGGATCAAACCGTGTCAGAAATGTTTGGAATTAGCGAATAGTTTTAACATGCTAGATGCAAACCCCCCTAGCATGGCCACCAAAATCAGTTACATAGCCAGATCTCATAATCCAGGTTAACGACATTTTTTGTCACATTATATATTGTATATCGGTATTATGAAGGCCCTTTTTCTTCAGTATTTTCTATAGTTTTATAAACTACATCTTTGAGATCTTTAGGTACTATAGCACTTTCTTGCATTTCACGAAAATCATTCATATTCTACTCTTCCGTTTTTGCCTTTATTTATACGGGTTAAGCACTCGATACGTGTTTTTTTTTATTATTTAAATTCAAATTAATTGGATAATCAATATACCTGTTACTATGCTATAAACAGACATCCTCATATTAACAGATATCGTCATAAACGACTAATGATTTTAATTCCATAAGTAACTGATTTTAGTGTTCATACTAGGTTCGTGGTATAGCGCTGCTACAATACCCCAGTATCGGAATAACTCTAAACTCCAACATTTTCTTATTGTATAGTATACATCTCCCTATTCACACAAAATCCCGAGTAATATTAAAGCTAGTCGCTAGTCTTGAGGTTTGAATGGTTTTGAATAAGACCATGAGTACTATAGGCAGCACTTGTTGTACAAATTTTTTTTTAACTCACAATACTTAAATGCTTTTTTTTTTTTGGTACACAAAATCTGTTATTTAAGATTAAAATTTGTATTTGCAATATTTACCGTATCAGCTGGACCGATTTTTTAAAATCTTCGGACCCTTTTATATTCCCCGATATCCGGCGTTATTAGCCAATCAAATTTTGTATATGAGTGCTTCCAAGAACAGAAATAGATATGTCACACAATCTGCACTTTAATATGTAATTTTTATTATACTGTATATTTATAAATAATTTGTAAATTACAACTCTTGTTAGTTTATCGTTATGATCTTCTGTATTGCTAAAGTTTTCTGTTTGGCATAAATTAAATGTCAGACTTTTTTTAATTGAGAATCTCTATTTCTTTCAAACGGCTAAATAAAAATGGGTTGTGAAGATTCTTTACGACCTGTAATCTATACAAACAATATACCGTTATTAATATTGCTTATTATATGTTGCATAGGTTCATGTGAATAATTATGAATCAATTTAGTGAAGCGAAATAATAATTTGAAGAGAATTTTGATATCATGTTAAATTGGTCTATCTATCTATTAATAAATTAGGCATTTGGATCCGA